ACCATAGACAATAAAAATAACGCCGGCGCATCTGCGGATAACATTCTACGTCCATGCCACAAAATTTGTCGTGTTTACATAAAATACGCACTGATGATAGCGATCGAGGGTTCACCAGAACTCGGGAAAAAGAAACATGTCATTTACAAGCGCTATTCGCTACAAGAAACCGAAGCCTAGCACGAAAAAATCACAAAGTGAACTGTCAAGAGGCTTACAAAAGCGCATTATGATTTTAACAAGTTTCCGAATTGTTCCACTATTATGAGGCGTGTATTATGTTTTTCAGCTATAGTAAGGGTATTTGGGCGCCTTTGTGGCTCACTATTGACAAATAACTTAAGATTTACGCTTAAAGCAAAAATAATGAAGGATTAGCAGTTATGTTGATTTTTTTTGCTAGAACTTTTCATAGTTGTATGGCGCCACTGGCTCTGTATTGCGCTAATCCTCGGACTTTTAAGTTGTGTTAGTCTATTGGAGTTAGATCATGTGGAAGTTGAAATGTAGTTAGCAAGTAGGTAAAGTAGTTTGCGCAAGTATCTCGTATAATAAACAGTCCGACGGTAGGTACAATACGCCGCGCTCGGAATGTCTCAGTCGAGTAATTAAAACTTGAATGTCAATTCATGCTCTAAAGTTCCTTTGGCGAGATGCTATCGGGCTGACGTGTTTAAGTGCCCGATTCTCGGTAGCCTACAACTTATAAAATTTACATCAAAGCATCGTATTCAGACTCAGAGCGGGTCGTAGGCACAGTAACGTGTCGGGGACATATATTTAAAGCTTCAGTAGATAGGGGTGCAATAATTTTGACAATGACTAGCAGCCTTACCCGGGCGAGGCGTAGGCGCGGGGAGTGCGGGGAGTGGGGGGCAATCTGCGCACTAAATCACGCTACGAATAAAATTTATGGCGCCGAGATAAAAACTCGCAGCTTTTCTCTTTTACGTTCCTTCCCCGTCCCCCCGGCGGCCGCCTCACACCCGTGCGGAAAATCCATAGGGATTTTTCCAAGTGTTCCGGCGACGGCGTGTGTGGGGTCGAAACGATTTTGTTTTATGCTTATTGCCGGCTCCGATGTTTTGTTTGCTAAGTTGCACAGATAAGGGATAGGTACGGAGATTGTCTTCTCAGCTGGACTATGGGAAGGTTTTTTGGTAGCGAGACATCCTTATTACTGCAAGGGAAAAGTGGTTCAAATAAATTAACTCTTTGAAAATTAACAGAATGTTCATTATTAGTATCTTTTTCTTTTTATTATTTAATCATTTATTTCAGGCAATATATATAAAAAGATATTTAATATGTAAACAGAGGCCAATAACATATATGTATGTATACCTTAAAAACTAACATATATCCTATAAAAAAAACAATATATATAATAAATAAAAAAATATATATGTATATTGCGTCGTTTTTGTAAGCTAAAATACACTTTAAGGTACAGGTTGTTATACATTTAATTAAAACAAATACTGTATTAGCAGTCTAACCTATGTAGGTACCTTAATTCTTTAAGGTTTAAAAGTGTACGCCGGAATACCAGTAGATAAATATTATCGCTATAGTAAAAAAAAATGTTGGCAAGAAGTCATAATATTAGCACACGAGGTATGTAAGTAGGTAAAAAATATAACTTTATAAGTCTAACAAAATCTTGTAATTCATTTCAATCTGCAGGTACGTGAATATTATTTAAAATTCAATTGATTTAGATCTAGTGATTCTGTGGGAAAACTATCTAGGTAGTGCTTTCTAGTACCTATAAATTAAACCTAACTACTAACTAACTAATACTATATGTAAAGCTAATACTATTTTATAACTACTAATACTATTATGTAAAGCTGAAGAGTTTGTTTTTATTAGTTTGAATGCGCTCATCTTTATAACTAAACTTCTTTGTGCTTTTTAAAGCCTATTTATTGAGAAAGGTTATCCAACACCATACTAAGAACCTTAGGAATGGAGAAATTGTACGTACTAAAATATACTAAGCGGCCGGAACATCGGGCAAATGCTAGTGATTTTATAAGCACTTCTTAGTATTTATTTTCGATTTTGTATTATACACTATTTTTAATCCGTCTACTGAACACTACTTACAGCTATAAAATCATTTCGTTGTTCAGGGACAGCTGTGCGCACTTTTCTATGTAAAATACATACTTGACATAATATTAGACAAATTCCAACCGCAGCAAAAACTTCACATTCATGTCAATCCGATTGTCTTACTTATCAGTTCTAAATCAGTGTTTACATTATTACAACGGCGTGATCTCCGTCAAAATAATGTCCTTATTAGACTACAAAGCGTTTTCAAAGAAACTACAGCAAAAAATGACAAAAATATCTACGCCGAGCTCAGAGATTACTCGAGAGCAAGGCCATCTGTGGATATTGAGACCATCTCACACGAGATAGCTTATCACCCGATCTCGACTCAGATTTTGTGAAGAAAAAGCGAAAGAAAAGGCTCCCATTTATAGATGAAGAGCCATAGACTACAGAGCGCAAGCCACAATCGCATTAGGTCGGCGGCTGTCGAACGTTACGATGATTTGAATTTTCATTGTTTATGGTGGCAGACATGTGTCAAAGTTCGATTGGAATTTAAATTCGGCTTCTTTGTTATACATGTTTTTTTGTCGAGTTGTAAACACGGCACGGTGATGTTCCAATTTGGTTACCAGCCTTCTTTGATGGAAGGTTGTATCTATGACTGTTTCTATAGCTCTGATGATACATCGGACGTCGGTATGCCATATGAATAATTACGAATCATGTTCTAAAAGGATCGCCGTTACTTGGTTTTGTAACAAGAAAATGTATTTTTAGCGAGATACCTTTAACATCAAATGCAGTTAGATGTCCGATACAGTGCTAGCAGTAATAAGATCAAAGGCGGGTAGCTAGCATCTGCTAAATTAGCGAATATAACCCAAGCGAGCGAGGGAACAGCACAAAGCGGCGACCATTTTGTTCCGACACTTTTCGAAATTGGAACGTGGCCGTTGCAAGCGCTGCCAGGCAGAGACAATAACGTGAAAAGGAAAAATATAAACGGCCCTATTTTAAACAGAAGTACTGAGACTAATATTTTATGCCGCTTTTCAAATGCATATGAGGAAATTCCGTTATATTTTCTGTGTTTAACATATGAAGGTTCAAATTGGTATGTCTGGAAAGAGCTGCTTACGCCGTTGCAATAGTGAGTGGTGTTAATTTAAAAGTGCGTTCTTGAACCCTTTCAGAGGTATTGTATCTTTGTACGCTTTGTACGAGAGATGGTTTATCTGCGTCGCGGGGTACATAAGTGCTGTTTTTTCATTCCGTAATGCTTTTACATTTCAAAGGGGTTAAATGTTATTCAGACTGGCTGCCCGCTTAGAGCGTGTGGGTGTCGTGGGGAAAGGAAAATATCTATTTACTCTGTTCATGTAGTTGTCGTTTACTTAAGCTTATTTTAGTGCCTATTCGTAAATATGTTGTACAAACTCATTATATTTTCCTCAACTTTACCTAATAATTTTTTATAGTTCGGTACTATATGTGAGCCAAGTATTTTCGGTACATGTTAAAGCTAGACAATCACAAATAATAGTAAGGTCATCTACAGTAAATGTTTTACGTGCAAGATTTTATAGAATAAGAGCGCTTTATATCACGTACATGAAGTGTACCTATAGGTATAGAAAAATGAGGTAAGTAGGTATGTCATTTGTATATAGGTACATCAATACAACTCTTGGCATGTATAATTAATATATTTAAGAGTAACAATTATCATCTTAAACTGTGGCACGTGTCTGACTCGCGCTGCCTACTACGTCGAAGAACGTGCGGCTTATAACCCCACGAGGCCAACGATTGAATTAATCCTGCAGATATCATCAATAGGTATCCCAATATAAACCATTCCACTAGTAGGAAAAGAAAAATTAGACTGGCGTTGCATTATTATTCTGTCTCCAAAGTGAAACATCTTCTACAATTATTGTTAACTAGCATTGCCCGCGGCTCCGCCCGCTTTCAGATGACCAAAAGCAAATTTTTAGGTTTTACATATTAATATACTCTTACATTGCAGTTTTAGTATTTTTCCTCAGAAATGAGATATTTTCCCGCGGTAAAAAGTATCCTATGTATTGACCCGGATAACCAGCCATCACCATACCTCAAAATCCCTCCAGTGGTTTTTCTGCGTGTTCGGCCTTTGTATCGTTAATAATGTCTATTTCAATAAGAGTTTCCAAAAAATATGTAATGTACAGATTCGGCTTAGTTGTAATTTTATTATATGTATAGACGAATGTTTACTCGAATATTAATAAACTGAAAGTATTATTTGATTTATTAATTTTTTATTTGCTTGAATGTGCTAATTTCCGGACTATCAATAACATATTCAATACACTTTTCGCATTTTATAGCTTATTTAATAAGGCATCTTATATCGCGCAAATTATACATAAAGAAACACGAGCGGAACTGCGGGAAGAGGCCAGTTAGTTTTATATACAAAATAGTTTACAGTAGTAGTGACATCCATCCTACGTTATACATATAATAGATAAGTTATCTGTAATTTAAGCCACGCTTTAAATCGATACAGATTATTATTACTGTCCATTGCTTTATAGGCTAATACAATATATCTAATGTTTGATTAACAGGTGATAATCCTATTAGTTGTTTAACTGTTTATTTATGTGCTTCAAATGTAGTCGACATAATTGTATATACGAGGAATTAATGATCGTACTATTATTTTTTAAATGCAAAAAAATATATGTGTTTGTGTTTGTTATTCCTTTACTGTGAAACGACTAAATGGATTAGATGACAGATTATATCCATTCTTATGGATGATTGTTTTTTGTTTTTTATTTTATTTTGTTTTTTATTTTTATTTTTATTGCCTCGCGAACCATTCTTGGGTAGTATTGGCAATCGGTGGATAAAACCTTAGACCGGTGGAGCTCAATTCAGAGGTTAGAATTGGAGTTGAGCAGATGTTCCGCTATCGCTGATTTTGCCATCTGGCAATTGTTTAGAGTTGCGATATGTTCCTTGACCTGTTCCGCGATGGTGCGCTTAGTTTGACCAATGTACGAACTACCGCAGGTGCAATCAATCTTGTAGACGCCCGGTGTTTGGTACGGGATTACACTCTTCGGCGTGAGCCTTGGAAAACGGAACGTATACAGTCTTAATTGAGAATTTTCCAACTTTATCCGTAATTCCTTTAATATAAGGCATGAGCGCGGACTGCAGGTTAAACTTGTGTTTCATACGTGTGCCACAACGAAATGGATTCCTTCGACTCACTTTGTACCTGTTCCTCTTAACTACATACCCCCTGAACATGCGCTAGTTCCGTTCCTAAATGTTCAGGGTCACATAGTTCATAGGCTCAACAAGTCTTGTGAGAGACATTCAGGTATCTGTCCGTGTGTGTAGGTTTGAGATATACAGTGTGCTCCAGAGAGCCATTCTCTCGCGCATTCAATTTTACATCTAAAAATGCCAGTGAACACTTTTTGAAAACTTATGCTTAGCTTTTTGGGGTTGTCAGTTGCTATGCAAAAACGATACAAATAACGTATAAATTTTGAATTTTGATAGTTATAATTATGGGATAATTATTTATTAGTATTCTGTTTTCATAAATGATTTAGATAGAATTCGTATTTTTAATGTAATTAAGTACTTACTTACACTTGTTGTTTAACTCGTGCATTAAAACACGAAATAGTGGAGATTATCCATATTTCGAGAAGAAAAGATTTCATAGTTTGGCAGTATAGTACTAAGTTGGTGGATAAAGCTATAAGTATCTATTACAATAAATAATTTTGATGATACTAACATAGCTATTAAGGATACTTGAGTTGAAGTAAATAATAGTATCTACCGTGTCATAAGGAATTATATTTAATTTGTAGGCTACCGTGCCCGAAGGGTGCCAACGGAACTCTATTACTACGCCTCTGCAGTTCGCTCGTCCCCCAGTTCAGCCCTCTGACAGACGGACTGTCAGAGGGCTGAACTCATGAACCGTAATAGGTAGAGAGTTGAAATTTTCACAGAGTATGTATGTATGTCTATTGTGGCTATAATAACAAATAATAAAAATAAAAATACAATAAACATTTTTTAACGTTCGTAATCGATCATCGAAGTTAATAGTAAAAGTCATATTAACAAAAAGTATATGTACGATGGTACGGAACCCTTCGAATGCGAATTAAATTCGCACTTGACCGATTTTTGACCTAGTTTAGAAAGGAGGTTTGCCAATTTATTTTCATAAGCCTTAAAAGGATTTAATTTATGAAATCATTTTTGTAAAATAGTGGGTAGACACTATCTGTAACAAGTATGTGTTTGAGACGTTTAACCTTAGTCTCTCCCGTGACCATGATTGCTTTAAAGCATTCGAAACGTCGGGAACTAAAAATCAAAATAAATCTGCGAAATAATCCGAAAAGATAGTTTTATTTAAAATGTCAAATATTCGCGTAAATCTAAGAAAGTATTATTTCATAATCCTTTTTATTGAATACGTTACAACTTCGAGAGACCCATACCTATATCTAGCTAAATCTAAAAAAAAGTAACCCCAAGTGTGTATTTGTGTATTAAATATACTTTTTAGATATGTCTGTGTATCTTTCTTGTTAAAAAGTTTTTGTTGCTTTAAACTTAACATAATTTTATACATTTAAATAATTTATTACGTAATATATGCAAATATATGAAAATGAAATGTACTATAGATGCCTACCTAATCGTTATTTGAAGAAAAATATATCTACATATTTTTTCTGCTCTATATGGGATTCATATTTATTGGAAATTAATGTACCTACCTTTAATTGATACATGGCTATTTACATGCGTTTATCGTTATATTAGACGTTTCTATTCAAATAGGTATCTAGTTGATATTAAATAAATTGATTTTAAATGTTATTTATAATTTGTTATTCTGCCGTCACAATAAACGAGGCCCTAACTAACAATTTGGTCAATAATAATTTTAATACAGATTCGAATTCTGCAAAAAAATGCTACTTGATAGTCTTACTCATAAAAGTCTAAGTCTTATGAATCGGGAGATACCATAACCATTTTCATCGTAACTAAGTCAAAACTACTACTAAGTTCTAAGACAAAGCTTCAAATATCTCGAAATCAACTTTGACGAAGTTGCGGCCGTCTTTTTTATGACGGCAGTATTACAACAACAAACTACTATTAGTAGGAAAATATACATATGTAGAGTGAGCAAATATTCTAAATATAATTATGTGTTTCGCAGACCTGAAATTTGCTTGTACAAATTATCTTTTCAACATGATTATCACTTTTTAATATAATGAAGAAAAAGTATTGTAGAGAAACTTTTGTGTAAAGTTGTGTGAAGTTCGCCAACCCGCCTTTATGCAGTGGTTGACTATGCCCTAATCCCGTTTGTATTGAGGGGAGGCTATTTCCCAGCTGTGGGAAGTTTAAGGAGTACAATTATTATTTAATAAGTTATAATAGTTTTAAAATATTATTTTTCATTTATTATTCATTAAAGTTATTTAATATTCTAATTTAGTTATCAATAAGCCACTAGGTACTTACTTACACATTTTGAATATCCTAAATATTTAAAACAATACTTTTTCTGGTTCTTACGGTATTTATTATTTATTAAAAACTAGCGACTCACCCTCGCTCCGCTCGGGTTCGTCACTACTTACGTTTTAACGTTTAAATTTCTCAGAGATGAGATATTTTCCCGCAGTAAAAAGTATCCTATAGGTATGTTGACCCGGATAACCAGCTACCATCATACCAAATTTCATCAAAATCTGTCCAGTGGTTTTTCCGTAATGCGGTAACAGACAGACAGACACACACAGACAGACAGACAAAAATTCAAAAAACTATAGATTCGGCCTCTGTATCGATAATAATGTATATTTCAATGAGATTTTCCAAAAAATATTTAATGTACAGATTCGACTCAGTAAGAATTTTATTATATGTATTTTAGTAGATGTAAATTGATAGATCTATTGTACATATATCATAAACGTAATAGCGATAAATATACCGCCAAGTTATTTCTATCTTTCCTATTGGTATAAATATTATCTACTAATAAACATAGAAATATTTATCTATTCCCTTAGGTATAGGTACAATATCTAGATGGAGCATCACACTAATCACTAATATTTTAATGCCAAAATGTGTAAATTACATAGGAAACTTATAACTTACCTACGTCCTACACGTTTCAAGCCTCAGGTGAAACTTAGTGTTAGATATAAACCAATCTAAAGAACATATCTAATGTTCTAAAAGAAATATACAAATAATTATTACCGTTAATGTCATAGAATTATTTATTTTACTATACAAAAATGAAAAATAAATAAAAGGTTTATATTCCAGAGTACTAATGTAAAAGTTATTTGCTTTAAATTTATAATCTAAATATTCAAGGGGGAGGATCTGAACTGAACAAGCGTCGGTATTTAATAGCTCAACTAAACTTAGTCCCTTCAGACGGTCGTTCAGTCAATATTATTAAAGTATCGACTGTGTTCAACAAAAATAAGTGGTGTTCTATTGAATTTGCTATTATTTATTGTTATATATATTTTTAGTAGGTATAAGTGTTTAAAGGTATAGCTTTATTAAATAAGTTTTACTTTTGGTACCTACTAGGATATGATATTACCTATTCGTATTAGATTAAAAATATAACAAAAAGCGAAATAATGATATTTTTGGTGTACCTATTAAAATTATAATACCTAAATATTGCAAAATTTATTTTATGTTCCCGGTAAATTAAATATCGTTCAATAAATGATAGGTTATAAATTAAAAGTTCTATATAGAATAGCTTGTATAGATATAGAACAATTAACTTCAATTATACCTATTTGTAAGTGGAAATCATAACAATATATTAACAAAACTGTATGTAGAGTTACTTGATAGAGTCCCTCATAGTAGTTAGTATGTGTGAACAATACAATGAACTGATATAATTTATTAGATTTTCAACTTGTCTAACTTTCTAAGTTATGTATGGACGAATACCATATAATCCATTAGCCACTAATACGACCTCTAGACCTAAGCTAAAAAAAAACCTGCAATGCCTATAATCATATTAAACAAAACAAAGCAAAACAAAACATACATTATCCATCACTCGCGGCGCGAGCGCGACTGACGCACACCAGCGCACGCCCAAAAGGAGAAAAAGAAAATTCAAAAAGAGAACACTCCCATCACTAGTCACGCCTCCCGCCTTGGAGGTTCCGACCAATCAGAGCGCGCGTGGCGTCGGCCGCTCCCGAGCGTGGCCGAGGGCGGCCGAAGCGTGCACAACAAAAAGTCACACGACTGGTTTAGTGTCGGGTCGCGTCCCAACCACGCCGCTTCACGCGCGCTCCTCTAGCGCCTGCGCATACCAACATTAAAATCATCTCTACATTTTAAAAATACATCACACGAATTAATTACAATAATATAATATATACAATAATAAGTGAGCTGTGTCATGAAAATGGACTTGACGGAATGGAGCGCATGATTTCAGTGTGTTATATCGCTGCGATAAAAGTGATTAGTGATAGTGAACGATTGTGTGATACCCATCTGAAACGGACAATTGAGGTATTTCATATTTTCTTTAAATTGATAGTATAGGATTTATTTCTGTAACAGGTTCTTTGGTTTTAAATTATTATATTCATACATTATTATTTAGGTCTCAATGAAGAATCTAGTTCAATAAGCTAGATTTGACAATATTTTACATGAATTTTCATATTATGAAAAAATTACACGCTTTACGCGTTTTACTTCATTTTCTATAATTAAAAATTTACATAATTTCATAAGTTAAAATTTAGTATATTCTATATTTTATTGTAAATGCATATATTGTAATGAAAATGTTAATTTAGAAATATGTAGTAAAAAATGTACTTAAATAAGAGGCTATTTAATTTAACAGTTTAACATATTTGTTTGTTATTTGTGCAAGAATAGATACAATTTACATCAATACAGTATCTTTTAAATAATATCCGTCGGTATTTGAATGCAACATAATGAAAATGTATAACCTCTATGTAAACAAAACATTAGAAGGTCTATAAATAAGTATTTTAAAATTATTATTTATGAATCAAAAGTTGGCATTTTTGAATAATATTAATAATAAATTGAGAGTTGATACAAAATATATCATATAGGTATGACTAAGTACAAGTAATTGAGTCACCGTTCTGTTTTTATTCATATTCACCGTTTTTATAGTAATAGCGGTAAATTAAACTTATGTATAAAATTAAATACATATTTATTTTGATTGTTTTCTTAGATATAGTTATATAATTTAAAAATATATTTAGGCGGATAGCAATAATAATTTGTTAAGGAATTTACATAGAGTCTTTATTATAGAGCGGAGAATAAAATTAGATATTACTATGTTAATAAGCAATTCAATTAATTTAACAATTACAATATTTTTTTTTATATTTAACGGAATTGAATCAATTGTTCACTATATTTTTATTAATCAATTACTTATAATTGACTCATTGACCTTTTATGTTGACCAACATACGTAGGTATGTATTTTAGTACAAAATAAATATATACCTAATAGGTTTAGGTCTATTATATAGTGAAGTGTAGAAATATTTTCTGTTA